CCACCACCACCACCACTTGGGGGGCAGCCCTCCTTCTCCATAAAGCTTGCTGTGACTGCGCAGACCCGGCGCTGCCCCAAACCGCACTGGTTTTGCTCCTTTAGGGACCCTCAAGCAGATACCCGGCTTTGGCAGTGCTTTCCCCCCTCCCATTTCACTGTCTTTCTGTTGCATCTTCTGGTCAAGTGGGCAGAGAAAAGTTATTGGAGAGCCTTGCGTTCTCCCGATTTGTTTTTGCACGCAGTTTTAGACTTCTGTGCAGCCTTGTTTATCTAGTAGGATCTTTTCTTCCTACCTCTCTTTCCGCTTTTTTTTTTTCTTCGGTGAATGGCTGGAAAAGCTTGAAAGATCTCTGAATTATGTACGGCGGAGCATCGGCTGGGTCTTCTGTGGTGTCCCACGTTAGGCTGCCTGTTGTCTGTGGCAAGCCCTACTTCGTACGGCCAGTCCTTGCATGTAATCTAATTGGTGCTTATGTAATACCTTTAATTTTGGAAGGAGAATAGTGCTGAATTTACAAATAAGAGCGGAGGTTTTCTGCACTGCTTTAGAGTGAATTCGGGAAACCCTGGGGGGTTGTTTTATTAAAGTCCTCCCTGGCAGTGTTGAAACACGCAGGCAAAATTAGAGCAAGCAAAAGGAAGCAAACTGTGCTAAAAACTACAAAGCTGCTCAGTCTATTCTGCTGAAGTTTAGTGGTTTTTAATGGCATTTGAGGAGGCATCTGCGGTGATAAGTGAGTACCTGTTGTGTAAGTGGTTGTAATAGAGAAGGAATTTGCTTTTTTTTTTTTATTTTGTTCTGTTAATTAATGATGCCAGAGAGGCATAGATCACTTAAGGCAGAACCTTAATCACTTTAATTCCCAGTAAGACAGGAACGAAGCAGAAAGGTTTCTGCCAAAGAGAAGATGTGAGCAGAGCAGGTGCTGCTCTTTTTGTCTTGTTGTGAAATCCAAACCATTAATGTTTAATGTTGACGCTTGCCACTACCTGAGATTGCTGGGCTGGCTCAACAGGACCTGTCCTCCCCTTAATTGTGTTAAGGTGCTTCTGAGATTCTGGACTTGCCTAGAGAAATCCTAGAAAGAAAAGGTGCGTTAAAGGGTAGTCAGGTTGTTTTCGGCCTGGTAAATGATAGGAGAAATGCTCCGAATAGTGTTGAATTTGTAACTCGCTGCTAATACTTTAGTCAAGCAAGATCTTTGAGACTTGTAGTCTTGGCTGACTTAAAGGACGTCTCTGTATCCTGGACCTCAAGCCATTATTTGAGAAGCTGCTTAATCATGGATGGGTGAAGTCAGGCCTCCACAAGGTGCTAATCCATCCCATGACAGTCCTAGACCGGCATGTGAATGCAAACCAGTTCAGCAGTGTAATTACACCCAGCGTTGACTGCTGCGTTATTTGCTTGTTTGAGTAACTTTACAAGAGTAAACACTAAAGTAACTACATGGAAATGCTTCCCAATGAAGCAAGCTGACGTGAAACGCTGCTACGATATTGTTGAGGGAGTAATATTGGTAATATTCAGAATATTGAGGCATTAAAATTTTATTTAGCTTAGAAGAAATGTCTCCCCTTTACATCTTGGAAGTGGAAAAAGCTCTGCTGCATCATCAGTCTAACCCTCTCGGTGAGCGTGGGCATCTGGGTCTTGCTAAGCTGTCCAGTAATGTCCCAGGAGATTCTCTTGGTCGAGATTTTTTTTCTTGTTGAAGATAAACTTGTTGACATCTTACTTCTTATAGCTGCATTTTTCATATATATATATATGCTGTTATCGGTTTTCTCTTTCTTAAAGAACATACAACCTGAAACTACAAAGCTTTTGGTTGTTTTCCCATAACTTTGCCTTGCCAATTTCTCCTTTCCCCCCAAAATTTTGCAGTTTCTGACTTGATCTGATTACTAAATAGGCTGATCGGAATATGTAAGGGTAACTTTAGATCTGGCCTCCTCAGGTTCGTGTTGAGGCGATTGTTTGGTTTTTAGAGTATTTTTTTCTACCTTCTCAAACTGATAATGTATCGGCTCTTTTTTCTGTTACTGTAACACGCTGCAAGCTCCTCACTTCCAAGGCTCTTTCATTTATTCTCCTTTTCTTCTTACTAGGTGGTAAGGTGGTTTGGGATCTCCCCCTT